TGAACGATGGTGAGTGTACGATGCGAGTGACAAGGACAGATTGCCTCGGGGCTCGTCTCACCATCGTTAGCTGGTAGCGGGAAGGCAACGGAGGATTCCAGCATTGTTCAGGTGTCAAATGCAAAAACCCCAACCATTCAGTTGCTGCAGTATCTAAAAACACTCTATTCATTTTGGCTCGAAACACCAAACCTCCTTTGAAGCCCAAACTTGAAACCTTTAAGGTGTCTAATCTCTCTTTGAAGCCCTACTCTGACACCTACCACTGACTCGACAGAGGAAACGCCATGGCATTTTATCGTGTGTGTTTTATATTTAGCGTTGGGGAATTACATCGCTCATGCTAAGCGTCGTTACTCTGCAGTTTTGAGTGTGGTTTGAATCTATAAGATATGGGCCAGAAACTCACGACGGAGTCACTGCGGCTGCGAATCCTCCCGCTTCTCATTAACCGCAAAGTTTTGCCCGGCTCCGCTTTCGAGAAGCCCGCCGTCCCGAAAGCGCAGCGGATTCCGACATTCCTAGAAGTCTTGGGTCGGGCTGGCGCAAGGCCGTCCTTGTAGCGCGTCCAGGAAAAGCGGGAACGTCTGCGGCGTTAAATGGATTTTTTTTTTTTTGTTTTTCCACCCACTTCAACTGTTCGTTTGTCATTAGTGGCTCATCTGTCTGCAGAGCGAAGGCAATATCCGCCACAGCCTCGTCTCCCGCTGTATCTCGGCTCATACGGCCTTCGGGGAGTTTATTGTTAGGAAGGAGGGAGGGTGGGGCTCCCTTGAATCCCTAACCCAGGCTTGACACCCTAATTTGAGATCCTATCTCTGGCTTGAAAACCGACTTAGAAACCATAACGTGGACTTTTAGACCCTCTTTTGGCACTGTAAATTCAAATGGTGTGATGAAACATTAACACTGGCTTAAACTTATTTTGACAAGCTAACCCAATCTTGAAAAGTACTTTGAAATCTTAGCCCAGGCTTGACACCCTAATTTGAAACCTCAACCCAGGTTTGAAACGCATATCATAACCCTTGAAATGAAACCTTAACCCTTTCGGGGACAGCGGTTACTACAGTGGACAGTTTATCATGTTATCAGGTTACAGGGTGCATGAAAGGGTTAATTCTGACTTCAAAGCCTATACGTTGAAATCCTACTCCGAAAAAAGAACGACGGTGTTTGGTATTTGGTCACTTTTTTCTTGAGGGTGGGGGGCATGAAAATGTTGCTCAAAGCGGTACAACTGACCATTGTTGGACCAGAACCAAACACCTGATTCAACAAGCGCTTAGCGGATTCGTCTTGCGAACCCTCCACATGATCCAATGTGTGCTTTGCGATTGAGCGCGGCGATTAGAAACGCGCGGCGTTCCGCTGTCATCTTTGGATCCGCAGGACGTGATGGGTATCTTCAGGAAATGGCGGATGGGACTTCCACATATTGCTTTTTAATGAACAGCCTCTAATGTGACGCCTACGCTGCTCATTTGCTGGTCGCCAAGATCGTATCGCCCTCAAGCATCTCCAGCTTTTGCCCTTTCACTTGAGATTGATCACGTCAGCTATTTTGCTTTCGGCTACGTGTTATTTACGTCAGCATCGTGTTGGGCAATATAGCCTTAAAATAAGAGCTCACAGCAGTTCCAATAACAAAAACTAACCGTTCCTTGATCTAAAATACAACTTAAATGGATCACAAAATGGAAGTAAATGACTTAACAATTCTTTGAATATGACACGTGTTATTTACGTCAGCATCGTGTTGGGCAATATGGCCTTTAAAATAAGAGCTCACAGCAGTTCCAACAAAAAAAAACTAACTGTTCCTTGATCTAAAATACAACTTAAATGTATCACAAAATACAAGTAAATGACTTAACAATTCTTTGAATATGATGATTTGATTTTTTTATTATTTTTTTTAACCCTGCGTTATTATTTCGGGCTTTGACGAGCCATGTGACTTCTGTGAGGGAATGCTGGCTGATCGAGCAATGATAAAAAGACTTGGCATACGATTTGTTAAGCTATGGTGGAACCTGGGGTGACGGGGTGGGAGCTAATACCCAGGCGCATTGTTCCCCTACCCAACAACACGGCGGCACATCTGTCCGGCCGTGTGGAGCTCTCTGTCCACTTTTCCGGCGCGCCGCCCCTCACATTCTCATGCTAAATGGCCGGCAGGCAGAGCAGCAGATGTGAAACATTTGGTTCCGTTTTTGTCCACTTGTAAAGGAATAATAGGGCCCGTTATCACCATTTTGTTCCTCTATGTGTCATAAAATAAAGAGTTCATGGAGGTGGAGGGAAACTTCCCTGGTGGCCTTGTTTATGGGTGGGAGAGGCAGGGAGAAAAAAAAAGTCGTTTTTTTAGCGATTTGTGTTGCTCAAAAATTTTGAGCTTGCAAAAGCCACCATTTACTAGAATGTGTATAAATGACAAGAATAACACTCAGTGGAGCATAGACCAAGGCCGCACTGTTAGAAGAAAATGGAGGAAATTATGCAAACCGAACTGCGAAAGTCGAAACAAAAGGTTCGGACAACTTTCATCAACCAACTCACCTGTAGTTTCATGACATATCTGCACATACTTTTTAAAAATAACAATTTTTACAGGTGCCAAAGCAGTCTTTATGTTGCTAGATAAACTGTGAGGTTAGCTTACCTGTGTTTGTGTGATTTGCAGTGACGAATTTAAGTTTTGTGATGTTGTTGCGAGAGTTCAGTGCATCGTGCAACAGCCTCTGTTTGCCGTAGATTTGTTTTTGCAATGCAAAAATACTCACAAAAGACAACAATGTCACTCAGTGGAACATCGACCTCCACCAAGGCAACAGTGTTAAGTATGGGCGTGGGGGGCAAATGTTTATTTGACTACTTCCTGCTTCATTAATGGATTAACATGGTGGAATATTTACCTGTACCATTATGGCTCCAGTTGAGTGGAAGTGGACTCTTCTATTGGAAAGTCATGCTCACTTTGATCCATATTCTTTCTGAAAGCTGAATAGTTATGTTGGATTAGTTAAATAGTCATTGACCCAAGTCTCTGGCAACCCAAAATAGAATATTAATAGTGATAACTTGTGAATGAAATTAGAAGTAGCTAATGGTAAGTAGGTGAATGTAACAGAATAAAAGCATTGTTTATTCTTCACAAAACTACCCAAGTAAAAAGTACATTACATTAAAAGTTATTTGACAAGTACAATTCATTCGAAAACTAAAGTAAATATCGCTCGTTACCACACACCTCCGCTACTGTATACTCCACGGCTGGAACCAGCTGATAAAATTTGTTTTCATTTGGGCATCTACAAGACGAACGCAGATGTTCCCGCCTTTCGAGAATATGATTGGCCACTGTCCTCTTCTGCCTTTTCGTGATTGGTCAGAAGTTGTGCCCATCAACGATAATGATCGAAGAGAAGTTTACAACCGTGCACACGTGAGGTACCAGAGTCAGATGTTGAGAGGATGCAAAAGTCACTTGTCATCTTTCAAAAAAGAAACGAATAAAAATATAGTCATACGCTTACTTGCTGCAACGGGTTTCGAACGCAACTTTACGCAGCAAGTATTTTTAGCGGTGTGGATGAACTCGTCGATGTCTTCATGGCAACGAGACGACTCGATGATGCGCGCTTAGCATGGCGTTGGCCCCCGCAGCGACCACCCAGGGATGGCGCACGCCGGTGAACCGGACTCGCCAGTCCCGGAGAGTGGCGCTTATGCTGGGCTCTCTGCTCACCTCTCTCCTCCTGATGCTCCACTGCCTGGCCGCACCGCTGCGAGCCACCTCCCGCCGGGCAGCTGCGGAGGAGCCGCAGCCCGACTCCTGGAGGACGGCTGAGTGGAAAGGCGCGGAGGAAGCGGCGGGCTACGTGAACTCCAGGGGCTTCTTGCGGGGTCTCGCGGACGCTCGAGGCGGCCTGTCCGTTCTGGATGCATCGGAGAAGATGGAGGAGGCTGCCGGCATCCTACCGGCGGTGGGGCAAGTGGTGGCCGGCCGGAGGGCATCACCGAGGCTCGCAGGTAGACTCAGCCCGCTCGGCGAGGGCGACAAGAAACTGCCCCAGGCGCTCATCGTCGGCGTGAAGAAGGGAGGCACCCGGGCTCTGCTGGAGTTTCTGCGCGTGCATCCGGACATCAGGGCCGTCGGAGCAGAACCGCACTTCTTTGACCGCAACTATGACAACGGTCTAGAGTGGTACAGGTAAATGTCCCACTGCGTTGTCCTGCATTCAAGTACGATTGAGATCAGCTTTGGGGAGCGAAAATTTGGTTTGACACTTGACGTCTAAATGCTCAATTACGTCTTTTTTTGTGTTGCTGGTTTTTATTTGTTTCTATACCACATCCGACCATATGTAGTTAAAGCTATTAGAAAACTGGCTTTTGCCTGAATTTGACATAGTGTTGAATGCATATTAACAGTATGGTAGTATGGAAATTAACCTTTTCTTTGAAAATGTGCTTTGCATGACGCCTGGGGGTTCATTAGAAAGTTGCTGGTTTTTGTTTACCCGAACCATTGCATCAGTACCTATTATTACAGGAAAAAAAGTTGCTTTTAAATTTTAATATGTCTTGTCAAGCTGCCAATCTAATAAGCGTCAGTGTCAATTTCTGTTTGCATGTCATTAGACTGCAAATTTGAGAAGTGAATGTAACTTTTTCTTTGTTATCGAAACTCCTTATTCATTTACTCAACTCCACACAGCGTGTCAGCGTGAGTTCAGGCCGGTTATACTTGACTATTATTTGAAACAACAATAAGTGAATAAGCCGAGAACTTTCGACCTGCACTTGAGATTAGATGTAGACCAGTTAAACACAAACTTTCACTCTGATTAAAGAATGACTGGGAAAACCTGATGGGATGGTTAAAAATATAGCAACATTTTTCCGATAGCGGTTAGTTTCAGCTGAAATACAAGAATAAGAAATATTGGTCCACATAAGTATGTAACTATTATAAGCAAGTGCAAAGCAGATTGTATGTGATATTTTTCTATTGTCTATTTTTGTTTTAAAGAGGTTAAAGTGAGACAATAAAAAATGAAATAAAAATAATAAAAATAAATGTGCTTTTTTTAAAAATAAAGCACAAATTAAAAGAACTGAAAATACTCTCCATTAGTAATGTTTTAAAATTACTGTAGGGGAAAAGTGCACAATTAGAAAAGAAGTGAGAATTATGTATTTTTCCAACATTTATGTTATTTAAACAAAACTCAAAACGAGACCGATTATTTTTTTCTAACAACTAAAAATATTTCACAGCTAAAGTATTTTTTGTTTATGGTGATTAAACAAATTCGAAACAAATGATCTCCCACCCCCAATGTTTTTTTTTACAGTATTTTAAAAAATAAAATAAAAACAATGACTCGCCTCCTAAAAACCAAAACATATTAAATAGTGTGTGAATTACAGATTTTTTTTTCCCCCAAAACAAGTTTACATAACCGCAGTTACAAGTTATTCCAGAAACAAGCCCCCACCCCAAATAAAAGCCTTTCATGGTAAAATTCCAAATTTGTGATTAATTTCGTCTGTCACGGCGAGCGTTGTGGGTTCACGTTTCTGCGGCCAGGCAGGGGAATAATGGTATAATGC